GGAAAAGAAAAGATTCATGTAAACAAGTTACTGTACTAATATGAAAGGGGAAAAAAAATAGCAATCACTCGTGTGACCAGTGATGCCAATATTAAGCACTTGAATAGGAGGCCTTATCCGCTTAATCAACCAACCAAATAATACAATGAACTAGATTTGGAAGAGCTAGTTTTCACTTGAATCCTAACTAGATTTTATATTATCAAGGGCGTCAAAATTGGAATTTCAATCAGACTTGGATGCTCTGGTGGTGCAATTCGGATGCTTATTCTTTTCACTTTAATCACTTAAATTCTTCGCATGTTGTTCACCATATCCGTTAACCTCACAAAACTCCTATAATCTACTCAAATTCTAGACAAAAGATACTGTCTTCATCACATTCAATACAATGATCGAACCTGAATACATGAACAAAGCACAAATAAGTGTTTTGAGTGCCTGTATGTGCACGTGCAAAGAAGAGAATGGAAACCTTATGGGCTCTCGTGCTCGGTGGTAAAGGTAATATTGGCGGTTGAGATTCAGTTGGTACCCGGACTGGCTGTTCTGATAATTGCTTAGGTGACACTTGAACTACTTCCACATCCTTTTGAGCTGTTTGCAAAGACTGACTTGAAGACAACGGAGGTGGTCCAGACTGCAATAGCTGTCCTGGGGTTACAAGTGACGGTGTGGACATTTCTACAAGACCTAGGCTAGATGACCCAGAAACAGATGTTGCAAGATGAGAAATGGTATGTGGTGGTAAGAGTGTTGAGCCATATTTAGCAGGATTGCTAGCAACTGAAGGTGCACCAGCATTGTCAGGAATTGATGTAGGCAGATTAGCCGAAGATGGCAAATTAGAACTTGGTGTTAATGTAGGGATGGCAGATGGAGGAGCTTTATTTGGTAAGAGGTTTGTTATTGTTTCAGATGCCAGTGATACGGGCTGCAGTGAAGGAACACTAAAAGGCAAAGAATTGGTGGTAACATTAGCAGAACTAGAGCTGTTGGGAACCAATGTAGAATTATAATCTTGTAAATTAGATCCTGGTATGCTTGATGCTCCTGTCTGTAAAGATGTGTTGATCCCAGAATATTGCATCTGTTGCATGGCGGGAGGAGGCATTGACAGCCCCGTAGGTGGTCGAAGCAAGGATTGCGGGGGCAGTTGAGGCATACCATTTGGTGCACCGTAGAACCCCTGCCAATACAAGGGCATAGCTAGCCCACTACCATTCACATTTGGAGGAGAAGGGCCCCAAGAGTTCAAATTCCCTCCCGATTGATATATAGGGAGACCACTTTGAAGAGCCGACCCAGGATGTCCCATATGTGCAGAATGGGAACCAAGATCTGTAAGAGACCCACCAGGAGCTGTGGGCAAGCTTGTTGATGTGGTGGCTGGATGAGGATAGTGAGACTGCAGTGAGATTAATATAGGTTAGTTTAAAAATCAATCCAACCTCTTGAATAATATCACTCCCCACCTCCCACCAGAAGTCTTCGTAATACTGGCCTGAATAATGGCTGGATCATTGTTTATAGGCAGTGTAGTTTGAATGGGAGGAGAAGCTTTCACCTGCAAATCCTGTGAAATGGAAAGTGGTCGTCAAATTTTAAGCAAATATGAATAAAGATGGAATAAAGAAGAACGAATACCAAACACAGGTGTAAAAAAAATTAAAAGCATAATCATGATCCAGTAAGAAATATAGCTTGACATGTATCATAGGTGTTACAGTAAAGAATTGCTAATGCCATGTAAGATGAAGCCTATCATACTGTAAGTCATTTTCACAAGCATGATGAAGTGCCATATTGCCATTCTCGTCTAGAGCAAGTGCTACTCCCATCATGCACCAACATCCACAAACAGG